CCAAGACTCAGCCTAAACTGTGGATAAGCAGGACACTGGGGAGTTGATGCCCCACTTTGCCTAGGCACAGTGAAGAAAATCTCCCCATATTCCTGCTCCACAGGAAAAGCCTCTCCTCCTCTGGGCCTGGCAGCCAAGACAGCTGTCCTGATACCTCTGCCCTCGTTGCCATAGAGATCACAGGAGCCTGGGATGTCTGTCTAGATAAAGACAATAAATTAGCCTCTGTTTTTCTGGTTAATCCTTCTCAGATCTCTGACACTGGCGGCTAACTGTAGCTTTGTCAGCTAGACAACTAGGTCTCTTGTTTAAAAAAAAAAAAAGACAAACAGATTTGCCTTGTTCATAAGCTTCATACTAAAGAATAAACAGGTTTCAGATGTAACTTTTTATTAAAGGAATATACCATGCAAATGGCTGTTCTCAATAGTAACTATTCTTATCTCTGGTAAAAATATGTTTAAAAAGATAGTAATTAAATTGGTTTATATGTAAAATGTCAAATGTTAATAAACATAATGCAAAGAATTACAGAAAACTATGGAACTGGCTTGGTATAACTATGTTGAAAGGCAAGTACCATAGGCTTTTCTGGTTACATTTCTCTGTACATTTCTTTAACAGTCAAAGAAATAGGAAAGCTTGATAGGACAATCGGTCTTGGATATTAATCTTATAGGGTACTGTATGGCTTGCAAATTTGACTGAAAGTATATTGCTACACTGAGATTTCACAGGCTTAGAGTTCAAGGAAAACTGATACAGCACCAAGTACTCACTATTCAGCCGTGAGCTCAAGATTTTAAATTTCCTTTTGTTGTCTTCTAAGTACAGACTTAAAGATGTTTTTCATCAGGCTAACCCAAAGTCATAGCTTTTGCTATGTCTCCAAGATGCAAATCTTTTCTATCTGTTTAACAGACACTTGTTGATTGATTTATCTATAAAATGGGTTACGGTACAATAAAAATGTCTCCTTCATCCAACTGTGTCAGAGAGCCTGAGCTCAAGCTCACAATAAAGGCTTTTTGCTTTTGTATACAAACTCGGACTCCTGGTGGTCTCTGGGGACTCATGACATGGTATAACAGTATTCTTCATAATGTAGACAAATTTGAAGCAATTATTGATCTTTGTGTGGTTATTAAAAATACAAGTACATGTCAGTGTTTTGAAAAAGAATAAAGGCAAAATAAACAACTTTTATTCCCCCTCTGTCAAGGGAGAAAGCACTCTACGGCAAGAACAAAAAGAGAAAGAGAGGAAAGGAAAAGAGATGTAAGTTAGTTGAAAACATGTAGATACTGTTCTCTGTCATCTTTCGTACTTAGCAATGACTGAACTGTTTTCCATTATTAAAATTCTTCATAAGTATCTTTTTTGTTTTGTTTTGCTTTTTGAGAGAAGGTTTCTCTGTGTAACAACGCTGGATGTCCTGGAACTCTTTATAAACCAATCTGGTCTTGAACTCACAGAGATCCAGCTTCCTCTGCCTCCTGAGTGCTGATATTAAATGTGTGTGTAGTAAGGAGAATGCTTGTTCGTTTCCTGACTGCCCAGATTCCCAAAATAACCACACAGAAACTATATTAATTAAATCACTGCTTGGCCAATTACTTAAGCTTATTGCTAGCTAGCTCTTACATCTAGAATTAACCCATCTCTATTATTTTAAATTTTACCATGAGACTTGTGGCCTACCAGCAAGGTTTCAACATATCTGTCTCTGACTCCGCCTCCTTTCTCCCAGCATTCAGTTTAGTTTCCCCACCTAGTTCTGTTCTACCCTATCAGGCCAAGCCAGTTTCTTTATTAACCAATGGTATTTACAGCATACAGAGGGGAATCCCACATCATGCAAGTACTACCACTGCCTGGTATAAATATATTTTAATATTTGTATTTTGTCAGATCTTTTGATGGAATCATAATTTGACTCCTCCCCTGTTACTGGGCACTTAGACTACTGCCAATTTCCTACATAAAGGCATATTCAGCATTATGTTAAACTTAACTACTCTCATAAATTCCTCTGAACTTCTAAAAGAAGAATTGCTAAGTCAAAAGGGAGGAGAATTGCTGAGGCTTTTTATACATTTGATCAATGTGCTTTTCAGAAAGGCTGTGCTAATTGCTTGCCTCTCATGACATCTGAGAATATTTGCTCCATGACATACTATTTGGTGTGAGAATTAAAACTCTTTGAAATCTATAATAATTTGAGAGCTGGAAAAGTATTACCTCGTTATTGCTTCCATTTTCATTTCTTTGATTAAGAGAAAGAGCTCAATTTAATATATTATCTATTTAATTCTATTCCTATGATAGAGTGTTAACTTTCTATTGCCATAATGAAGTTCCCATAGTAATCAACTTGCAAAGGGTTAATTTTGACCCAGAGCTGTGAAGCACTCAGTCTATGAACAGTTAGTCTCATTATATTTGGGACAGTGGCAGGGCAGCACATAAAGTCAGAGAACATGGCAGGGCACTGAGCAACCCACAGGGAGGATCCAGAGCCCACAGCTCCCTTTGCTGTCATTCCCTCAATCCCCTGAAGACTTCCTACATCTCATGAGCCCCACCCCTTTCAAATGCTTCTAGGACGACTAAGGTTATAGGACACAGGCCTTTGGGGATACCCCAGACCCACACTATAACAGTCTGTTTAATTTTTTTGACCATTTTCTGCTAGATTATGTATTTCTATCATGACACAACAAATTTTCACACTCTGGATTGTTTTAAACAAAATTTCTTATCTCATAGTTGCTAAGGTGTTAGCTTGGCTGGGTGCCTATCTAGAAATTCTGTTTCAAATTTACCTGGATTGTTGACAAAAATCCAAGGATATTTTGTTTCCTGCTGGTTGTCAGGCTGAAGGCCACTCTTGGTCGTTTTAGGTTTTCCAAATTCTTGAAGGCTGCCTAAATTCTTGCTCAACACTATCATCCATCTTTAAATCAGCTATCATCCATCTTTAAATCTTTAAAGTTGCACCTTCTTCTGATTTCCCAGCAACAGAAAGCTCTGCACTTGTGATTATATTAGACCCACCTTGATGACCTCATCATTCCAATTTCATGTGTGCCATGTAATATAAAATAGTCAGGTAGTAATGTCTTATGTGCATCGGCTCTGGGGATTAGCAAAACTGTTGGAAGGACAGTTTGGAACTACGACCGTCCTAGAGTGTTAGGTGTCAATTTTTATGACTTGTTTGTGTGATTTATGATAAATCTTCAGTGTACAAAGCTAACAAAGTGTGACAAGCCACATTTCACAGCAGCAAAGGTTGCTGGTGGTACTAAAGAGTTCTGTGTACAGTGCTGTAAACACTGGTGCTGAAACAAATTGTAGTCAAATACCCAAAACATAAAATGTGCCATAGTAACTATTCATAAGTGTAGTCCATCATTATCATGCAGCCCAATCTCCACAGGTCTTTTCATCTTGTAAAACTGAAACTCTATACTCATTCAACAAAAACTTTCTCTTCCATCCTTTCCCCAACACTAGATAATCAGAAATCTGCTTTTTAATACTGGAATATTTGATACAGTCATCAAACACCTATTCTAACTGTTGTTCCAGGCACTTTAAAAGTTACCAACTTGTCAGGCACAGTGGCACATTCATTGAGACCTAAGACTCTGGGACAGTTGTAGTTCCAAACTGTCCTTCTTCCAATAAATTTTGCTTATCCCCAGAACCTATGCATATAAGACATCACTACCTGACTATGTTATATTACAATGACGCACATGGTGGCACATCCCAGCAGAGGCAGATGGATCTCTGTGAGTTCGAGGCCAGAGTGGTCTACATAGTCCAGACTAGACAGGGTTACATAGAGAGAGACTCTGCCTCAAAAAAGCATACATATTTAATCCTCATTAAATCTTTGACGAGGTGGCTATTATTCCTAGTCTACAGATTAGGAACAGCAGTATTGAGTAAACTTCCCAGGATGTCACAATGACAAAATGATCAAACAAGAATTTAAGGTGAGGTAATGTGGCTTTAAAGATCCTGCTAGAACCATGGCATTGTGAAAGTATTTACTATAGAGACAAACACATCAGACATGGATGTATTTCTTGGTGCATGACATTTACCACTTCTTGTCAATTTAATCTAATATTTGGCTCTTAGTTAAAAGTTAGATTATGTTACCAAGGTAACGCATGTCTATTGACCTTTTAAAGAACTAACTTTTGCCAAAGTATTTGCTTGCAGAAAATGAAACAAAAACTACTTGGTATTTTATTTTAAGCAAATCAATTGTAAGTTGTGCTATTCTATAATGCGGTATAAATACAAATCACAATTTATTTTTAAAAATATTTTAAAAGAAAAAAATCAAAATTTTTCTCTATAGTTCCACGGACAGAAGAAAAAATAATTAAATACATTTACAACAACATAATCAATCTGTTTAACCTGTTAGATTAAAAGGCAAACTATATGAATAGGTCAGTCTCTATTTGTCATTCAAAGTCAGCAGAATTGTTTCAGCTTAAGGGGTGGGCCTCAGAACTCCTTGTTTTTTTGTTTTTGTTTTGTTTCAGCTTAGTAAGCTTTTCATACAGACCAATTTGTCATCAGTCCTGTGGCGTCATTTACTATACATTCAAAATGGGCAGAGTCAACAGGAAGAACGGTCGTCACGTTTCTCTGGGGCTAAAAGCTCGGCTGGGGTTGGTTTCTATGATCACTGGGGAGGGGTTCCCAAAAGACAACACAGAGAACAGGATCGCCTTAATCAATTACTTTCTATTTTAACGTTTACTTGATTCACAAAAATAAACAGAGGGTCATGTCATCACCCACAAGCGAAGTGCTACCTCGCTCGAAATACAACAGAGAGCCGTGCATGGGAAGCATCCCCGCGACCCCAGGATGCTCCAGGGATGTGTCATCCCGCCCCTCTCCGCGCCTCGCCCGCCCTGTCGCCCTCCCGCCCGCCCGGCCGCGGCCGCCGCGAGGCGGATGCTCACCGAGGCTTGGGTCTGGTCGCCCCCGCGGCCTGCAGCCGACTCCCGGCAGGGCCCCGACCCAGGCAGCCCGCCTTGCTCACCGCCAGCCGCTCCGCCCCAGCCGCCGACCATCCCGGCCCGGCTCTGTTTACAAGCCGCTTCTCGCGGTCCCACTCTCAAATGCTTCCCCGCGGCAGCCCGGCAGCCAGACCCGGACACACAGGGTTCCAGGCCGCGAGGACCGGCCCCTCCTGCGGGAGGAGCGGGCGGCCGGGCGGGCGGGGCCTGACCTCCTAATCGCATCTTTTCCTCCGCCGCAGTTGTCACCCGCTCCGTCTCCTCCGCGTTCCTCCCAACGCCAAAAAGTTGTCACTTAGAACCTACCAGGGCTGGGTCAGCTATCAGCAGTTGACACAGTTAAGAGAATCTCAGAAAAAATGCTTTCCAAAAGTAGAAACGAGCGCTTTTCGTGTCTACTTAGGTAGACGGGTTGAAAAGGTGCCCTTGGGAGGGAAACTCTCTAACTTGGCTGTGGATTCCCAGTTATAGCACATAGGGTTAGGGTGGGGGTCACCTCTCCTGAAGTCTCCCAGTGACTAGCTACTTTTACAAAGATCTGCTGTCTTTCTTTTAGTTTCCAGCCTTAATTCTCCATCACAGCATTCTTCTTAGTCCTTTCCTCAGTTAATAAGAATAAGAGGGGCTGGGCAAAGTGGTGCATACCTTTAATCCCAGCACAGAGGCAGGAGGACCTCTGTGAGTTCAGGCCAACCAGAACTACAAAGTGAGATAGACCCTGTCTCGAAGCAAGCCAGGCGGTGGTGGTGTACGCTTTTAATCTCATCACTTGGGAAGGCAAGGGCAAGCTGATCTCTGTGAATTCAAGGCCAGCCTGGTCTACAAAGCGAGTTTCAGGACACTCAAAGGTACACAGAGAAACCCTGTCTCGAAAATAAAAAATAACAAAACAAGCAAAAAAAAATGTTATAGCTCCCAAACATATTTCTTACATGGTAATTATTGTATTTTAAATTTTTCAACATTTAGAAAGAATGTCCAAAATATAGACTGTAGTCAAGACACTAAAAGGCACTGAAACAAGAAGCACAATATAAGCAGAAACAATTTTTCTTCTAGTTAAAGATTCCAGCACCCTGTGTGCTTGAAATTCATTATTGAAAGCAAATTCAGAGTATAAAACTTTAGATTGACGAAAACAAATTCAAACACATTTTTTTAAAATCCATGTTTGAAAAACGACTAAATCTACTTCCCACTCACTAACACAGGGAGCCAATGATGACATCATTGGAAAAGTGCTGGCTAGTCATCATCTGGGAATATTTTGTTCCTCTAAATTCAAAATAGTTAAATTCATGTCGCCATTCAAAGGGCTGTCTGCTAGCATCACCCTCACTATTTTTAATAGACTGTATTTTGAGAGACGTTTTTAGATTCGCAGAAGAGTTGAGGAAGCGTTCTTACATACTCTTGTCACTGAGTATGGACAACCTCCCTGCCTATGAGCGTCCCGAACCACAATAGGACGTTTTGTATCATCTATGACCTCCACCGGTACACCATCAGTCTGCAGTTTGCATTGGGACCAATATCTTTACCTACATTGTACACTGACACCCACGAAGGCCTGTGTTGTATGTTGTTTTACTCTTTTGGGTTTTTGAGGGGCCTGCCACCCAGCTCCCAAATAAATCACACACGGAGGCTTATTCTTAGTTATGAATGCATGTCTTAGCTTGGCTTGTTTCTTCTTCTCAGCTTTTCTTAAATTATCCTGACTACATTTTGCCTCTGGGCTTTTGCCTTTCCTTATTTCTTTTTTATTTCTTTCTTTTCTTTTTTTTTCTTTTCTTTTCTTTTTTTTTTTTTTTGGATTTTCAAGACAGGGTTTCTTCGTAGCTTTTGGTTCCTGTCCTGCTGGAACTACCTCTTGTAGACCAGGCTGGCCTCGAACTCACAGAGATCCGCCTGCCTCTGCCTCCCGAGTGCTGGGATTAAAGGCGTGTGCCACCACCGCCCAGCCCTTTCCTTATTTCTTTATACGTTTCTTTACTTCTTTCTCTGTGGCTTGCCATGTAGCTGGGAGGCTGGCTCCTGATGTCCTCCTCTCCTTGCTCTCTTTCTCGCTCCTCTTTTGCCTCCTTTCTCTTTTTATTTATATTCTGTTTGTCAGTCCTGCTTATCCTTGCTATTGGCCATTCAGCTCTTTATTAGACCATCAGGTGTTTTAGACAGGCACGGTAACTCAGCATCACAGAGTTAAACAAATGCAGCCTAAACAAAAGTCACACACCAGAAAATAATATTCCCTAACAGGCCTCTGTTGAGCAATCAGAAAAATTTCGTACAGAACAGAAAAAATTGTCAATGTTCATCTAATCAACCATTGTCCACAGCTGTTTTCTTACTTCAAGACTGTGAGCAGCAGGAAGACTTCAGACTGCATCGCTCTCTACTCCGCTGGCATTTACTTGGTAGGAATAAGCTCTTTGTTTTTCTCTACTCAGCACTTGTGGGGTTTTATCACTGTGAAGAGACACCATGACCATGGTGGCAACTCTTTTTTCGTTTGTTTTTTTGCATCTTGTTTTTTTCAAGACAGGGTTTCTCTGTATAACAGTCTTTGCTGTCCTGGAACTCTTTTTAGACCAGGCTGGCCTGAAAATCACTGAGGTCCACCTGCCTCTACCTCCCAAATGCTGGGATTTATCTAGTAAATAATCTCAATAAATGTTGTTAAAGGCTGCAGATTTAGCTCAAGGTAGAGCCCTTGCTTAGCACACACAAGGCCTTAGATTCTGTCCCTAGCACAGCTTTTTACCACAAAACAAAGGTTGTTGGGATGAAGCAGTGGAATTGGGAGTGTGCTCAGTGGTGGAGAGATTGCCTAACATGTAAGGCCCAAAGTTTGATCCCCAAAACCCACTCTCCAAAGCAAGCTAAAATAAAACGAAGTACCAAATGATGTGTAAGGAAATATCATTATTTTATGCTTTTATTAGTTTTTTTTACTTTTATCTCTTATTTAATAAAGTATTGCTTAAATCAGCATAGAATAAAGTTATGCTGTTAAAAATAAAACAAGCCAGGTGATGGTGGCACATGTCTCTAGTCCCTCTACTGGGGAGGCAGAGGCAGGTCTGGTCTACAAAGTGAGTTCCAGGACTACCAGAGCTGTTGCGCAGAGACCCTGCCTCAACAAACAAACAAACAAAAAAGAATTACCTTTGTTTAACTCTGTGAAGCTGTGTTACTTTGTCTAAAATACCTGATTGATCTAATAAAGGGCTGAACAGCCAATAGCAAGGCAGGAGAAAGGATGGGCAGGGCTGGCAGACAGAATAAATAGGAAGAGAAGAAGAATAGAGAGGAGGAACAAGGAAAGAAGAATGCGAGAGGATGCCAAGGACCAGTCACCCAGACACACAGCAAGCCAAGGAGTAAGAAGTATAGAAAGGGATAGAGAATAGAGAAAGACAAAAGCCTGGGTCAAAAGGTAGATGGGATAATTTAAGAAAAGCTGGCTAGAGACAAGCCAAGCTAAGGCCAGACATTCATGAGAAAAAATAATCCTCTGTGTGACTTATTTGGGAGCTGGGTGTCAGGACCCCAAAGAGTGAAGAGTAAAGAGTAAAGGAAAAACAACCAACAGCAAACCTTCATGTGCACATGTGGAGGCCCAAAAATGTGAGCTTATTTCCACGTTGACCAAAGGTTAGAGAGTTGGAACTTCCTTTTGGTTCCTTTTGTTGTGCTTCTACCCCAAACAAAGATCACACCTAGACTAGACCCGAGAGTTCTGCTCTCCCAAGGTTGGTTTCAACGGGTGTGGCTAATACCCAGACCTTGTATTTCAGAAAAAGAGAAGTAGATGTGTTTCTCACCTCCCTGAAGTAGATAACCTTGGATTCCATTCAGGGAGTGGTTTACCTACAGAATGTTTTGGTCTAGGGTGTGAGCATGACTTTTTTGTTCTAGCAACAGAATGTTTAAGTATGGATGTAGCTTGCCACCTTCAATTGATATGTTCATTTCCTTGTAGCGTGTTAACATCTTACTTCTACCTTTTGGGATGAGGGGTATCTTAAGCAGTTGGAAATTAAATGCGGGTGAATTTCAGTACTCTGTCTCTCCAAACCCCGCCCTCTCAGAGAATCTCCAGCAAATGATAAGGCTCCGAAAAGCCCAGCTCCACATTCTTGGCAGCTATGGCAATTCCTCCTGTGAAGTTGTCAATGGTTCAAGGCCCTGCCAGTGCCACTAGAAAAAGTCCAGCAATTCGACTTTGCAGATGGCAATTCTCCAGCACCCTTTTACTTCCATTTTAAATGATTCTCACTATGCGTTACTGTTAGGATTCACCTGACAGGATGCACTCAGCCAATGCCCTGGCCTATGGCAGGGTCCAGTGGCTGCTATGTCACTGCATAGTCTGTACATAGGTGCAAAAGTTTCCCTTAAGAGACACGTTCCACCCATTCCTGCTCTCTTCCCACTGTCCCTCAGAAGAGGCAAGCAGGTTTCTGCCCCTCTCCCTCTTTCTCTCCTCACCTGAGCTCTTTCTGTATGGTATATTTGTTTGCCCCTCACCTGCCACGGGCTCTCACCCACCTCCAATGTCCTTATCCTGCAGAACCATTACATTGGCGACATGACTCTGCCATGTTCTTCCTGTGGTCCCTACCACCCATGGACAGGCACCCTGAGGCACAAGGGGGCCCTGACCCCAGACTGGAAGCTCACTTTCCAACTACTGGTCCACTGGGATACTTCACACAACACTGCCTACAATTGATGAGATCCTCTCCTCCCTGGTGGTTTTCACAATCGCCTCCAGCATTTCCCATGAGTGCCCTTGGCCTCCACTTTAACCGAGCAGTTTGTGCCTTCATTTCTCATACCTACATGATGGAGGAGGGTCATCTTTCTATCTGTTGTTTCATTGGTTAAGTAATAAAGAAACTGCTTGGCCTCTGATAGGACAGAAAATTAGGTAGGCGGAGTAGAAAGAAGCTGAGTCAGATGGTCGCCATGATTCTCCCACTCCAGATGCAGGTTAAGATCTTTCCTGGTAAGCCACCTCGTGGGCTACACAGATTATTAGAAATGGGTTAGATCAATATGTAAGAGCTAGCCAATAAGAGACTGGAACTAATGGGCCAAGCAGTGTTTAAAAGAATACAGTTTC